CCAAGTACGGTACCGTCCAGTGGAGAAATGCTCGCCGAGATGATCACGTAAGCAAGGTCAACTAGTACGGATGGTTATTTATTGAAACATGTTTTTGAGCTATGTGATTTCTATGTCATTTTTAGCTCAAAATCACATGATGATTTACAATAGTAAAATCACTTGATAGTTTGGTATTTTACTATTATACAAAGTACATATTTCATGGTTTAGTTAGATAAATAAATAATTTTAGTTTTGTTTAAATATATTATTTTAGAAAATGTGAAATTTACAGTAGTTTGCAAAAATAAGTATAGAAAATAGATGACAACTGGTACCAGATCCTCGGCCTCTCGTTCGGTTGCGAAACAACTGAGGCCAGAACTCTCTCTCATTATCTGCGGCAAGTGTAAGCAGAAGATTGTGATGGAGTACCGAGTCAAGAGATAGGGACCCAACAAGTGTCGTGTTTTCTACAAGTGCCCGGATCGCGATGTGAGTTTCTTACGCATTTGATTATTATGGCTAATTGACCTGCTTTTCTTGAATATTTTTAACTAAATATTTTTTGGCTTTAATTTCAGTGGAAGGGCAATGGATGCGATGGTTGGTACTGGGAGAAAGATTATGCTACATACGTGCAGAATTCAGCTGCTGCTGATGAGGCAGTGAGCCAGCAGGAGAAGCTTATTGATATTCAACAGAAGAATGATTTGTCTGTTTTAGTTGCGTACGCTCACGAAATAATTATGTTACTGAAGTGTATTGTAGTTTTAGTTTGTTTAGTGATAGTTGGGATTGCTTATGTTGTAGCCAGGCTTAGCTAATTAATCAACCGTGTGTGTGTCATCTATGTTGTGTAATAAAATACTTAATTATGTTTAAGGTTTTCATAATTTATCGTGTAATACAGATTATGTCACGCCATTGGATGTACAATGCCGATCGCCACTCCCAAGACTTTATTGAGGGCTTGCACTATTTCTTAGGTGTGGCCGAGGCAAATAAGCGGGATGGTTTCATGTGCTGTCCATGTGCCCTATGTAAGAATTTAAAGGAATATTCAAGCTCAATGAGTCTTCATTCACATTTGCTTAAGTCAGGTTTCATGTCAAACTATATATGTTGGACTAAGCATGGAGAAAGCGGGGTCATGATGGAAGAAGGTGAAGGAGAAGATTTAGACATTGATGACATTATTGCTCAGTATGGTGCCTTTGATGATACTACAATGGGGGGAGATGAAGAAGAGGTAGCGGTAGAAGATGATCTCGGTGATGCTCTTGGCGATGCCATTCGTGATGCACAACAAGAATGGAAAAGTGAAAAAGAGAAAGTTAAGTTCGAGCGCATGCTTGAGAATCATAGGAAGTTGCTATACCCGACGGCCGAAGAGGGGCAAAAAAAGCTGGGTACAACACTGAAATTGCTACAGTGGAAGGCAAAGAATGGTGTATCCGACAAGGCATTTGAGAATTTATTGAACCTCATAAAGAAGATGCTTCCGAAGCCAAATGAATTGCCCACCACTACGTACGAAGCAAAAAAGGTTGTCTGCCCTTTGGGATTAAAAATCCAGAAGATACATGCATGTCCTAATGACTGCATTCTCTACCATGGCAATGAATACGAGAATTTGGATGAATGCCCGGTATGTAAAGCATCGCGGTATAAGATCAGGCGCGATGATCCTGGTGACGTCGAGGGTGAACAACGTCCTAGAAAGAAAATCCCTGCCAAGGTTATGTGGTATGCTCCTATAATACCACGCTTAAAACGTTTGTTCAGAAATAAAGACCATGCAAAGTTGTTGCGGTGGTATAAAGAAGACCGGTGTTGGCTTCATTGATCCTTATATCGTATTTAAAACCGGTATTATTGTCAAGGAGCGGCGGGTATCTGAAGCACAGGAGAATATCATGATGTTCTTCGTGAAGCAGCACGACAAGACAACAATACTTTTCCCATACAACTTTGAGTAAGTGTTAATAATAATGTAGTCTACACATTTTATGTAATATCAATACAACTTATATGCATGTACGTGTGTGTATAAACCAATGCAGGTTTCACTGGATACTCATTGTCATTGAGTTAAACTCAAGTCGGTTAGTAATCTTTAACTCGTTGAGAAAAGAGCGGGCACTATACCAAGATATGATAGACATTATCCAGGGGTAATTTCGATCTCTCGCGCACAACTATTATTGAATAGACTTTGCCATAATTTATTAACGATCGTACATTATTGGTCGCACAGGGTTTGGAAAGAGTTTATTCGACAACATCGCAAGTATTGCAAGGCACCACTTAATGTAGTTGAAATACCAGTAAGTTGTACTATATACACTTCCCCACGTGTTTAATTACTATATCGTACTTCAATTTACGTGTGAGATGATGAGAATAATCTTCTTCTCGTACAGTGGTGTTTGCGGCAGCAACCAGGTAATAACTTGTGTGGATATTACGTTTGTGAATTTATCACTGCGCACATAAGAAGAACTCCTAAAGATATCCTCAGAGTACGTATATATCAATTTTTTATTTATTTTTAAATGAATATATATATATATATGTATTAATACTTTTCCTTTTATTTTAAATGCAAGACTGAATGGTTGAAACGAAGGGTCATGCAAAAAGACCATCTGAAAGCAGTTCAAGAGTCAATAGCAGGATTTCTTCTAGAAAAAGTGCTAAATCCCAACGGCGAGTTCTACTTTGATCCTAAGGAATAAATGATGTAAATTAAATGTTTATTGATATCGTTATTTTCGAGAACAAGATTATGAAAGTGTTGTATATATATATATATATATAATATATATAGGTTCATACTTTATTCGAATATAATAATGCTCGAGATGAGAATTGGATGTAATTATATGCGTGCGTGTATTTATATTAGCAGCGTAGAATACGTACATAAAAACATATTATATATTAAACAAATACGTGTAACTGAACTGAAAACAAATTAAACAAAAAAAAGAAAAAGAAAAGGAACATTTAGTCCCGGTTGGGGTTACCAACCGGGACTAAAGGGTGCGGCCACGTTTGCTCGGCTGGAGGGCCTTTAGTCCCGGCTTGATGACCCGGGACTAAAGGTGGCACCTTTAGTCCCGGGATCATTGTCCCGGCGCGGTAACCGGGACTAAAGGCCGTTACCATCCGGGATAACAAGTCCATTCTGTAGTAGTGAAGTATTCAAGGAAAAATTTTAAAAGTATGTATTTTTGTATTATACAAAAACCCGATATGTTATTGGTATAGTTGGTGTACAATCACCACCAGCTGTCATCCCTCCAGTCCCCCTCCCTCCTCTCTAGTGAGTTGCCGATAGAGAGGGCAGCAGGTATCCATCTCTCTAGTAGATCTAGGAGTCTCTTCTCGCCTTCATCAACAAAGGGTGGTGGTGGTGGTGGATTTTATTGTGCTGGTCCCTTATGCATCTTGTTTCAATGTTTTTTTTCCATGAAGGTACGATTAGTTATGGACTGTGTCCATAGCATTCCTATCTAGGTGGAGCTGATGGCGACATTCTTTGGTGGTCTTTCGGTTTGCTATCCGCCTCGCTGCTGATCCATCCAGCACTAGTGAAAGCTTTTTATGAGGTTTGTGAATGTGTCAAGGGATGGTGGTGCATGAGAGATCTAGATTAGTTTCGAGGTGCGATCTTGTTGATGTTCTTTCAGCGGTTCTATGGATATGTTCTTCGGGACGGACACCTATTGCGGTCTTTCTATGGATATGTTCTTCGGGACAGATGCATATTGCGGTCTTCAAAAGCCTAGGTGGGATTGATGTTCCTCCTGATCTTGCTTGGAGCGTCCCTATTGCGGCCTTCAAAGGCCTACATGGGATTGAAGTTCCTCCAGATCTTGCTTGGCTCTCTGTTTATCCCCGTTTGCATCCGGTGGCACAATGGTGATTGGAGAAAACACAGTGCTGCCATAATTGTTTCCACAGAGAAGAGTTCGTCAAATTTGATGTGATTTTCTTTCTTGGCATGGCCTTTTATGTACCGGTTATTATTGTCCTTAATAAATATCAATCAAGTATAAGATGCCCCAGCGAGTCTTTTGTATAATACATAAAATAAAAAATAAACAAACAACAAACACTCAGCTATCAGGTGCAGACAACAAGACGCTTTGCTTCTGCATAAGTTTCGACTATGCCAAACCAGAGCATAGCTAACTGGCTACACACTATTGGAGACGTCCTTATGAAGCACAACCGCCTTTTTTATCCTGCAAAGATTGCAGTAATGACGAACTCTACCAAGTTTGCCCCAAATGCAGAATAGCACAAACAACATAGTAAAAAAAAAACAAGATCAAAGTGACAATGCCGTGAGGGGCCAAGGATTGTGATGGCCAAGTATGGCAGATTGGCAGGAGGTGGATAACAATAGCTGCTGGAGCTCAAAAGAGGGAGGCAGTTTCCAATAGGTCACTCTAGGCAAGGCAGCAGCTGACAACTGACATTCTTCCTCTCTTGCTTTTGTGTGAAAGGGCGGGAGAAACATCAGATCACCATGGTGATCTCATCAGCATCTCTAGGTAGGTACTAGGTAGTTGGGGCTGAGGAACATCGAGTACAACACCTGCAGTTCATCTTGCCCAATTTGGCTAGACTACCTGTTCACTTGACTTATAAACCGTACTTTTTTAGTCATCTCATAATAAATCAGCCAGCAGTACTTTCAGCCATGGCTAAGGCATAACAGCTTCACTTTACATGGACCAGACTAGACCGTAGTACGGTTGGTGATGGAAGTCATGAAACCACAGTTGCAGATCATCTCTGTTGCAACAACACCTAAGATTTGGCCGGAGCAATTGCTACAAATCCTGCCATTCATGATAAAGTTACACGAAAATTTGCCGAAAGACGAAAAAATACACAACCAAAGTCGATAAAGATACCGAGTGATCTCAGGAAAGGAGAAGGTCCAAGAAGATTACTATTCTCTCAAATCAGCTGGATTGCCCCTAGTAGGCTCTGGCTAGCTAGTCGATCAGGGGCTCGTCGCCGTCGACAAGCAGCGGCGCCGACGGGCCCTCGAGCAGCAGTGAGTCCAGCGAGCTCGGCGCGTTGTTCAGGTCACTTCCCTTGCCGCCGCCGCAGTGTCCTGCATCTGCATCTGCGGCCGCGTCGACCATGCCGCCCCCAACGCCACCGGCAAGGCTGCCGTCCACCACCGGGTGGTGCAGAGGCTGGTGGAGCGGCGTCGGCGGGTACTCCTCCTTCACGTGCCACCGCTGGGGGGGAAACTGGAGCACGTCCATGGCTCGCGGAGGGTGCTGCTCCGCGGGCAGAGGGTGCTGGTGGTGGTGGCTCTGGCTCTGCCTCTTCCGCTCCCGATGGAGCTGCAGCACCTGGCTGTGCCTGTTGGCGTACTCCGACGGCTCGAAGGTGGGGCTCGCTATCGGCCGGTACTCCGGCAGCAGCCGCCCCTGCCTGTACCGCACGCCGCACGCGTTGCACAGCGTGCTGCGGCCCAGCGGCCCCTCCCGCCACTGCGGCGTCGACGACGACCCGCAGTGCAGGCACTGCTTCGCCGACTTCGTGGGCCGCCACGGCTTCCTCGCCGAAGCCGCCGCCTTTTTCTTCTTCTTCTTCTTGACAAGGTACACCGCTGGCGCGGGCGCCAGCGCGGGTTCCGTCCTCGGACGTGGCGGAGGTCTCCCCCGCTTCAGAGGCTTCTTCCTCACCAGGTAAACATCGGGAACTGACCCGGGCTCCCAGATCGGGCTGTCGGGCGACGACTCCGAGACCGGGCTGTCCGGCGGGGGCGGCCGGGCGGGCGTCCTCGCGGTCGCCGGCGTGGGGTGGCGCTGCACCTGCCCCCGCAGCGCCCCGGCCGCCTTGAGCCGGACCCCGCAGGCGTTGCAGAGCGTGCCCTGCCCCATCGGCCCCGACCTCCACTGCGGCGTCACCGCCGCGCCGCACTGCAGGCACATCCTAGCCCTCTTCGGCGGCCTCTCCTCCGCCGCCAAGGCGGTGTGGTGTGGGTCGGGAGCGGGGCCTGGCGCACGCGCAGGCGCTGGGGACGGGCCTCCTCGGGCCGATTATTAACCGCCGCCGCTGGGGGAACCGGCCTCTTTGCCTCCTCCGGCGCGGGGACGACGGGGAGCTTGAAGCCCCACCAGCCCGACGGCGGGGCACGGAGGCGGAGACGGCTGCGCCCCTTGCGCCGGACGGTGGCGTCCAGGCAGGAGACGGCGACGGGCAGGGGGAGCCACGCCGCCGGGAGCGAGAGCACGTAGCCGGGGGGCCCCTCCGAGTCCTCCTCCCCGCCACCGCCGGCCATGTCGCCGGTCGCCCTGGTCGCCGCAGATCGCCGGATTCTTGGGTCTAATCCAGGCGGCTGCGCCTGCGCAGCTTGACAAAAAATGCTATCTTTAGCAGGCTCCCGAGCCGTATTACACAGGATGCGAGCTTTATCTTCCCAACCACCCAAAGTAAAGAGAGACTAATGGATCCGCACCTCTCCTTTGTCGCCTTCATCCGCCATCGCCATGGACGGCGGCCGCCGGGGAGAGCGAGCAGATAGGCGGCGACCGACGGACCGGCGCGTCAGCAGAGCAAGGGGGGCAAGAAAGAGAGTTGGGAAGGATGACGAGTCATGCTCATGCCCGGATGCCCTCTCTCTGTGGGGGTGGGGGGGTGTTTCTCCGTGTTGTTTTGGGTCGCATAGAGGGTCACGAAAACCGGTAAATCTATTCACGAATTTGCGTGCCCTGACTTGTATTTTCTTCCCTAAAGGTACAAAATTTAAATGGTAATAACACACATACGATGAATATGGATTAAATTTTCATGCATTCCAAAAAATTAATACCACTTTCGATGAGTTCAATAATCTTAAATTTAGCTAATTTTATAGAAAATATTATCACCAATTATACTTTTGAATAAATAGATTTATTAGAAAATATTTTATAATTAATTTAATGCATCATAAGTATTAATGGTTTTTTATATATTTATTTAATTGAGTTTGAATTGTTTGACTCATGAGAAGCGAGAATTCCATCTTTTTAGAACGGAGGGAATATATTCGTATCTATATATAAATCTATATCTATATCTAATATTAAAAAGCGAAAGGGATTATCCCAACCGTCTTTCTTACTTCCTAAAGTGTATCCTCACTCTCTGTGTCTCGTATGTGACCCAAACTCACGGTTCATGCAAATAATACAGAGTTCGATTTCAAGACTTAATAGCATGTCTTTTTTTACTTCGTGTAATGTTCTTGCGTCTTTCCTTATCTCGTTTGGGACCCGACTCAAGACCAGTGCTCACAACAATCAGAATCACGTGTGGTTGTGCTTGTGCATCTAGTGACAGTAAGAAGTTTGATTTCAATACACATTAACATAGATAATGAGACAATTATATAAATCTCCGACATGTTAGTCATTCAGGTGACTATACAATAAGACATATACATTTGCTAGTACACATTAAAGACACGATTCAACTAAAGAAATACATCTGATGATACAAGCATATAACCATCATGGAATTGGTAGCAAACATTTAAACAAGGAATCAATTGGGCTTTCAATACTTTTATTATTAGGGCTTCCGCAACGCTGTTTTTTTACCAGTAGCCCCAAATGGCATGTAGGATTGGATAAAAAATAGGTGATTTACACTTGTCATAGTATCTTGCGAAAGCTACATATGCTTGGGAGAGAGAAGGTGGTCTATGCTAAAAAAGAAGAGGGAGATGAAATAAAGATGAAGTACTATGAAAGAAAAAAGTTTCTTTGCAAACCACAAGTAGTGATAGTTTGCATTGTGTGAATAGTAATATCAATATTTTCTATTCTACGTGGATCACTTTATTTGTACTAGAACCATTAGTAGTGTAAGACTCCATTGGTGGTGCCCTTAGTAGGTTTCACGCGATATTTTAGCTTTCAAACACAAAGAAATAATTATTATATATATGCTTAAGAATATCTTTTATAAATTTTGCTAGATATCCGATGGTAGATTTTTTTTTGTGAGAGGACATAATTCGAATTACTCACCCCCACAAAGCATCTGAGATTGTGGCAAACTCCTTCAGCTCAATCTTAGCCAACAAGCAACAAAAACTTCCTGGACTCCAACGAGATTTATAGCTAGGGGCCGTTCGGTTCTCCCGGATTGCACCAGCGCGCTGATCAAAAGGTTATGTAAATTAGGCTAACAATTCAGATAGGAATTGTTTCAGGGATGGATCCCTAGGAACCGAACAGCCCCTTAGTGTAACAAGACGGGAATGGATTGGGAAATTTTGAGGAATTTGGGACTTCTTGACAGAGAGGCGTGTCCTAACCAATTATTAGTAATGGTGTCCTGACCAATGTGGATCTAGCGGCAGAAGTTAACAAAGTTGGAGAAGAACGGTGTATTAACAAGAAGCAAAAGAAAATTATTGTATAAAAACAGACCGTGTGCAAAACAAAGAGATATATGGGTTATTTGGATAAGTGGCTTAGGACAAGGCTACCACAATGCAACCTCTTCGTGTTTTGACACCTACCTAAGTGCTAAGCCAACTCCAAGAAGCCAAAAAATGGGAAGGAAATGGCTAGCTAAAAACAAGTGGGAGGGGGTCGTTTCTAGGAAGCCAGACTTGGCTAGCCACCCATACCATGTCGCCTCATGGCCAGGCAAACTCACCTGCGCCGCACTCGTCGTCAGTCGCCCGTCCACGCACGAGCTTTGCCCCTCCTCGATTTTTTTGCGACAGCCTTGCCTCGATTTTGTTGCTTCTACCCCCAACATGATCTGCATTGGGCCTGCATGAGATCTGCCAGACCCCGCGCGTCTGAGCCAGCCTCGGCGCGAGCTCCGCCAGACCCGCACCCTAGATCCACTGGGCCTTTGCACGCTCGTCTCAGGCCACCGAGCGAGCTCCGCAAGACCCCTAGCATTCTGAGTCGTCGGCCCCCAGGCGACCTCTTCCTCTCCCGCACTCAACTCCAACCCCATCCGCAAGCTCCACCTCCTCCAGATGGTTATGGTGGCGAATGTTGGAGGTGGGAGGTGATGGTGGCTAAGGTGGGAGATGAGTGCAAGGGAGATGGTGGTGGAGGTCCAAGGTGATGAGCTGAGAATCACCCTCATAGAGATGAGGTAATTCTACCAAGACTATATAGGAAACCAAACAAAAATTTTATTTGCTAGATTTAGATACTATAAGTAAACCAAACAACACATCTTTGCATTGTATTATGCTGGCTTGGGCTGACCAAACTTATTTGCTAGCCAAGCCTGGTGAAGAAAACACAACCAAACAGACCTATAGTGAAGATGGCCAAAGAGCTTTTTAGGTAGCTATCGGCAAGAGGCGGTGGGTGCTGTGGTGGCAATGCACGAATAGGTGAAGAGAACAAAGGCGGTCATGAATTTGAATTGGGATGAAGAAAGGCCCAAATACAGGAGTGAAAAAATGTATCATCTGATCTTTCATCAATCTAGAAATACTGCATAGCGTAATATGTCATTGTTGCATTTAATTTTAAAAAGAAGTCGCTACATTTATTATTGTATTAAGGTTGCACCTAGAGATACTGTGTACATAGATTTGTGTGTCCACATATACTTAAAGGATTTTTATTTTAGCATTGTTATATTTGTCATTTCTTTGTGGCTTAGCATATAACGACTGCTTAAAACAAGGCAGTTGGTTGTTGCAACGAAGGTAGTTGGTTCTATCTAGCGATTTTCTATGCAGTGATTTGTAAATAGATGCTTGTGTGTCTCGAGCATGAGTTTGAGATCTCATTTGTAACCTATGGATTCAAAACTAAATAAATATTTGTCATCGTAAATCTAATCTAACAATCATGGCATAGCTTGTTGGTTTCGGCCAGGGCTTATCAGCCAGCCAACAGTATTTTTGTCTCACAACAAACCAGCACCAACCGGGCTTATCAGCCCAGAAACCAACCAGCGAACAGGCCGAGTCAGATTTCTTGTGGTAGAATATATCCATTCACATTTAAATGCTCAACTTAATATTAGTGCTTGCATTTTACAATGTCATTCTTCTGGTAATGGGTTTGCGGTGACTTCATCATCTTAAAATTTGTCGGCTAATCCTTTAGAGGTATTTATAGGGGTATGGTGTGTGTGTGAAGGTGAGCATCATCGTCTATAATATGTTTGTAATAAAATCATGGCATAGTTTTTTTTATTACTGAAGATGCTTTGCAGCTCGGCCATCCAGCTAGCTAAAAATGTATAACTTTTGTTTTAAAATGAGCTAAAAATATATATTGTAGTAGTATGCAACCTGTGGTGTGATGGACCAAAATAAATGCAATGGAATGGAGTTTAGCATCTCCAACAATTCCTCTTCAATTTTCACGTCTCCAACAGACGTCCAACTGGGCAACTGGCCTCCCAATGTGTCCAACAAGCTTCCAATCCAAGGTTCGCTCGGACGGTTGCCTTGCCTGGTTTGTGCCACTGGCGAATAGACCTGCCCCGTTGCCTTTGTTTTTGCTTCTTGCATGCTCTAGGTCACCGACTCCTTGCCCTTCTCTCTAAAAAAAAAGGAAGAAGACGAAGAGAGGACTCCTTGCCCTGCTCTAGGTCGAAGTCGCCTCTTCTCCAGCGCACCCTTGCCACACCTCACGGCTTCTAGGCTGGCAAGAGCTACTCCTGGCCGGCGTGAGACTGCCCTGGCCGTTGCTATGGCCGACCGGTGCATGGGAGGTGGCGGCATGGCGATTGTAGACGCTGATCTTAAGCTGCTATTCCTGGCTACGGCTTCTGTTGATACCGGTTGTGGCCTAGCATGTCTAAGAGCAACTCTAAAAGCATCTTTATATCCTTCATGGTTGATAGAATTTGAGATTTTGGTGAAAAAAAAACACTTTCCAATAGATTCTTTAATTATATCTCTGAATATTAATCCTCTCTTCTGGATTTTTTCGCTAGCTAAAGATAGAGAGCGGAGATGGCTCTATAGAGTGCGTATAAGATATAGAAAAGTTGTTAGAGCGTGTAAAGATGTCGGCAACGATTTTTATTCAATGACTCTCCAAAAGATGATTTAGAGAGTGAGTTTAAAAAAATTCTTTGGAGATGATAAGTGAACCCACGGATCAAGCAGATTCATCAAGCAGATTCAATCGCTAAACCACAAATTCAAAAGCTTAGGAACACAAAATTGAGAACTCAAAATTTTATAGGAACAAAAAATTGGTAACGGTTGGTCCACAGCAAATCTTTTGCTCCTTTCTCTTTCTGGTCGGTTTGGCAAAATCAGGTTTTTGGTAATTGTTTATATGGAATTTTTGGAGATGCTCTTATTCTCTCTTCTTCACATCCATGTGTATTTTGTCCACAACGTCAAATATGATTCATGTGATTGGAATGAGCGAAGCAGGTGTTTGTATCCTTCATATGCGCAGATTATTGAATTAGCAAACAGAGAACTTAAGTAAAGTTCAGTATATCTTTGCCGCAAGCAAAATACATGTTGCAATCTTATTGTTTCCATTTCAGGCTTTGTTTGGATGCATGTGTTGGAGTGGATTGGAATGAAACTTAGTTTAATTTTCACTTCAATCTACTTCAACACATGTGGATTGAAATGAATACATACACATCCAAACAAGACCTGAATGTAAAAAATCTACCATTGGCATCTCTCTTTAGCATGTATGTGCTTTGGGCTTCTGCTCGGCAATGGGAGGCAATCAGAGAAGCCGATTTTGACTTTTGAGAAGCCTATATTCCAAATGCCACCGGCGCCAATCGTACATTCAGATGCCGAACTTCATTGAGCTAGTGTAATTGTCCTATTGTCCTGACAGGGTCAGATAACAAACCGCAACAGTAGGAACCGACAGTTTTTCCATACGATTCGGTTGGCCAGTGTTTAACAACTCGTCTCAAGAAAAACTGGAGAAAGACACCGTACCATTTTATAGACAACAATACCAATAGTTATCTCAAGATAAGAGATGAATAAGTGCAATAAGAATCTAAAGCCATTTTATTCTAAACACGTGTAGGAACCATCACATGAGGCAACCTCAGAGTGTTTTTGAATGATAGCCTCTCGGCATCACGAGAAGCCATAACTCAAAACTTTAAGGTTTATCTCCTTAGCTTTACAAACAAAATTGAAAGCATCTAGACCCTAGTTGGGTTTCGGTGATTAATAACGACACGAGATTACTATGACTAATGTGTGTTTTGCAGAGACAATTTGAGTTAGGTCATGGTAATGGAAATTGATTGTGCAATCGTGGTTGTCATGCTCCTGTCAATGGAAATCGTTTCGGTTTTCAAAGGATGGACGACAAGGTTAAGGACGGACTAGTTCTAAGTGTCGTTTGGCGTTGAAGAGACACTTAGAGTAGTTTAGGACTTTATTTTTCCTTTGGCCGTACTATTAAGGGGGGTATGGACTAGTAGCTTGACCTAGGTGAGTCTAGCGGGTTATGTGTGGTGCACACTTGTCAACCCTAGCACTAGGTAGCTCAGGAATAGCCCTAAGATCAATTGGAGTCAACTTCATTCACATAGGATATCGAGTTGGAAGTGAATGAATGGTCAAATGACTGACCGGACGCTGGTCTGGTTGTGACCAGACGCTGGAGGGTGAGTCCGGTCAGTTCATTTAATCAACTGCAGTCGTCTGATACTGACCGGACGCTGGAGGGTGAATCCGATCAGTTCATTTGATCAACTGCAGTCGTCTGGTACTGACCGGACGCTGAGTGGAGGAGCACCAGACGCTGGGGTGCCTGCGTCCAGTCCACTCCAGAGAGGTTCCAGTGAGGTCTTTTCTTGACCGGACGCTGGAGTGCCTACGTCTGGTCCACTCTAGAGAGGTTCTAAAGAGGCTTTTTCTTGACCGGACGTGTCCGGTGGGTGCTGACCGGACGCTGGTTAGAGTCCGGTCAGAGCTTAACGGCTCTCTCTGGCACAGTAGCGGGTACAACTGACCGGAGCGTCCTGTCACTTTGACCGGAGCATCCGGTTAGTCCATAGTGTGATGATTCAGCCTCCAAACGTTATGTTTTGAATGAGGGGGTATAAATACTTACTCCACTCGTCCATGGGAGGCCTCTTGCCCATTTGTTCGGCTGAAAAACACTTTTGGAGTGCAAAGGAGAGCAAGAGACTAGTGGGGTGATTGAGATTTGATAGTCCAAGATTAAGAACCTCATTAGTGCATAGGGAGTAGCAAGTATGCATCCACCTTTCTCGTTAGGCTTGTCTTTTTGTGCTTGTTACTCTTGGTGATCGCCATCATCTAGACGGCTCAGTGGTGATTGAGAGCTTGGTGATCATCCGGCGGATCTTGTGGATGACCCAAGTCACTTTGTGAGCGGTTGTAGACGATTCACCGCGACGGAGTGCTAAAGAATCAGCCTGTAGAGAGCATTTGATCATTGCGCGGATTAAAGAGAAGCTACACCCTTGCGCGGCTACTCCAACGAGAAATAGTGGAGTGACGACTCTCCGATACCTCGAAAAAACATCACCGTGTTCCTTTCCCTCTCTTTACTTTGAGTATTTACATTTGAGCAATTCATTTTATATCTTTATATTCCTAGAATTATCATGCTAGAGTAGGATTAAAACCTAGAGTGCAAAACTTTTATACGGAAGATCAATAGAAACACATTTTAGACACATGAGGTGAAATGGACTAAGTGTAGAAATTAATTATTGCAAAAATTTAGAATTAACCTAAATCGTCCCCTGTTGGGCATCTTGATTGATAATCGATATCAAATTCGTAACATTGGCACTCTATCATTTCCACACTAAACGTATCAAAAAGAGTAGAACCATCATGCGTACAACTGAGTCAGATCATTCTCATACGTCTTCCTGATCACCTCCCTCTTAAGCTTGAGGGCAGCAGTGACGAGTCCCGACTCGGGGGTCCATGGCTCTGGTATCAACTTGATTTTGGCTGGTATCTCAAATTTCTCAAGTCGTGCTTGCTTTGCAGCCTGGAAAATAACAAGTGCATGTAAGTGCATCGAGTGCAGTCAAATTATTGTCTTAACGGTACACACGATTTGTCTTGCTTGACATGCTTGCAACTTTCAGCTTGCGTGTCAGCATGCACATGGAAAAGGAAGAGAAAACTTCCCAAGGATATCAACGTATATGAGACAACACAATCCTAGTTACCTTATTTCAAATGTAGGAACATCTATGCCTTAGTACTTTTTGCTTAAAAGAAATAAATACCACCACTGCTTATGAAACACACTCGGCAGCGTTATTGGCCTTTGTGAAATTATAACTAATAAAAACTCTATGAATGAATATGTTTTATGCTGCGCTAGGTGACTGTTTATCGTCTTATTGCCATATTTATATTGTCGTTAAAATTAGAAAATGCACTTCTGCGAGGCCAGCTGTAACAGTAAATCAAGCATTGTGCAGGTGAACAGTTTATTTTCTTTCAAGCACTGTTTAATTCCTTTCGAAAACACTAGAAAATAGTTTCCTATTGCCAGATTTATGGAAAAATGAAAGCATGGTTGAGTGAAAGATCAATGGATGCTAAACCCTTTTCTTTCATACAAAGTCACTTGCTATAAGCATTGAGTCAGGTATGAATGTGTGGTGATCCAACACAGTAAAGCAAACAGATGTTGACAGGTGAACAGAAAACACAAACCTTCGCTAAAGATCCAAGCACTTCTTTAACAGCCTCTGGCTTCTGGCACAAATCTGAGAAATCACTGTATTTAATTCCTTGCTGTGAAGCCCAGCTTTCCAGCTTAATGTGTGCAGCTACCACAAGCGCAACACAGTAATTGTGGAAAGGATCAGCATGGATCATAATGTTCTCCACATATGGGCTCACAATCAAAGCAGCCTCTACCTGTCATCACCTAACAAGTTAAGCAGTGCAATCAGCCAGTTGGACCAGAATAAGAATATTGCATACCTTCCCGAGGGATACATATTCGCCATGCTGAAGCTTCACAATATCTTTCTTACGGTCAATGATTTCAAGGCAGCCATCTGGATGGAATCGTCCAATGTCACCAGAATAGAACCATCGCATACCTTTTTCGTCATCCTTCACATGATATATGAGGTGTATGGTTATGGTTACAGAAATTGTGAAGAAGTTATAGTTCGATGCATGAAGTAATCTAAGAATATATTAGTAAGAGAACAACATACCTTGTACACTTCATTTGTTTTAGCTTCATTCTTGAAATAGCCTTTAGTTACATTCGGACCCCCAATGACTATTTCTCCCCGAGGCATTGGTAAATCAGTTGTCAAGTATCCACCCTCAGGCCAGTCGATCAACTAAAAATACAGTGGCCGATATGTCAGGAAGTCAGGAACTGTGGGAGGTCAACAGTAAGCAATGTTTTCAAGTCGTCCGATTAATTGCGATTAATCGTCCTAATCGGTCCCTGCTGACTGATTAGGGGTAGCGTCGACTTGTACAAGTCGTCCGATTAATCGCGATTAATCGTGATTAATCGTCCTAGTCGGTCCCATGGCGACTAGGTTCGACTGGACGACTTGAAAACATTGACAGTAAGTACTAAATACACTGTCACGAGAATAGATAAGATATCCCAGTGAGGAAAGAAGTTCAACAAGCCAAAAAAAAATCTAAGCAGGTGCATGTAAATAATCTTGAAGCTAAGAACAACCAATAACATTGGAAGATTTTCAATATAAAAACATTGTTAGGCATAAAAAAATACAAAATAGATCCACACAAATAACATCAGGAATATAACAGTTTTGCTACAAAATTGTATCCATCTCATTGGTACGTAGTTAAGAAATGAATCTGACCTTAATATACGAACAAGGTAGTGGAGCACCAACACGACCAACAGATGTGTCATCATACTCCGAAAATGTCCCTCCAGCACAAGTTTCAGTCAGACCATAACCTTGCCCTATTGGAGCCCTGAAATTGCATAAGCCTTATCAATGTCAGACTGCAAATAGAGTGAGACAGTCATAATATATTTATCGTTTTAAATGCATGGAATGGGAACATAGGATTTCAAGATAATTGCCATCAAACAGAAATGAGGGCATACATAATCTTACCCAAGGCATATATTGATAAATCTCTGAGTATCTCCAGATAGAGGTGCTCCACCAGAAAGTACAAACCGAATCTTTCCTCCCAAAATAGCACGCACCTTTCCAAACACAAGCGTCTCCCACAAGAGTTTCTCCAATCCCCAGGCACCAAGCCAACTTCCATTGATTGCAGCAAGCCGACGGTTATAGGCAACGTCAAACAATTGCTTTGCTATACCACCCTTTGTATCCACCTGAAGCCACGTCAACAGAAAAGGTAGCTGTCAATAATCAACAAGGTGCACTGGACCAGAACAATGTAAAGGACATTTACCTTTTTCCTCACACCATCACGGACACGGTCAAGTATAGCAGGTACAGCAGTCATCAATGTTGGCTTTAGTGCAGAAGCATCACCTAGAGTTCCCTTTTTTATTTTACTGGATGTATCAGTCAGGGTCAAAGGTGATCCATATCCTATCGAGGCCCCAACAGCAGCCATTAGTGCCTAAAAAGCATATTTTTGCAAATGGTGAATAAAGATTATAATATACCAATATAGTTCCTATCTTAATTGAACAACAGAGCTCCCGCCCTTGTCTTTCAAAAAAAATACAATATAGTGAACAGATTTGACCCATTCTGATGCCTATTGCCTATTGAACGCTACCTCTGCTGCCAACTCAAGAATGTGTGCAAGTGGGAGGTAGGCCAAGTATATATCTTTACTGCCAAGTACAGGCACAATGGTCATAACTGCTGAGAGTGTAGCCAGGACGTTGCGGTGGGTCATCATAACTCCCTATAAACAATTGAGATACATGTCAGTTCAACCGCAGAGATATAATTAGAGAATTCCACTTCACTTTTTATTTGTCCGTATATATGAAACTCATTTCATCCCATGAAAATATATATTATGTCATGTCAGCTTATTTAATGCCATGAAACCTCCACTGAGACTGGCCTAAGAAACAACTCCCTACCTGAATTCTAGTAAGCAAGGAAAACAATGCAGAGGACAGAACAACAAACAAAGAACCAGGATGTATAAAGCAAACCTTGGGCAATCCGGTGCTACCACTTGTGTACATTATCACCGCAACATCGGAAGGGAGAGGCATGTTTGCTTCAACAGGTGCTTCAGCTCCTAACCTAATTACTCCCTCAAATGACTCAACTATCCAGCTAGTGCAGTTTTGAGCTGAAGAAACTTCAGCTGAGATGCCTTCCTCATTGATATAGACAACACGCTTGACAGTATCAAGTTGCCCACTTACATCAATCAACTTTTTTAGTTCTTTCTGACCACAAACTACAGTAGTGACCTCAGTCTGGAAAGCAAAAAGGATAAATTAGTCAAAAATAGAAGCATATAAATAGCAAACAGATGTTGATTACTTTAAGCATAGGTGTCAGGAATGATTAAATGCAACTGTTATATTCTATTAAAAAAATGCAACTGCCGATTAATTGTCGCTGTCTATAAGTGAAATGCTACTAATGGTACAGATTGATTTTGTCTTGAACTCTTGATAAACCAAGAAAAGCAGATCACATGAAAACATAACAAGCAGGGACAGCATGAGATACAACTATAGAAGTGACAGTACTGACCTCATTTAGTGAGTGACACAATGCTTCCTCCCCCAATGAGGCATAGATGGTGACAACTGTAATGTTTTGTCTGAAGCATGCCTTGCAAATGGAAAAGGAAAAAGTAACTCAGAATTTTAGTGTGCGAGGATTCAATGTAACACAATATGAAGATGATGGTAAATGAAGACAAGCAAGAAAAAAGGGAACCAAAGTGAAAGGATGTTTAAAGAAACAATTTTCTAAAAACATGCAGCATGCAAACTGTTCCTGGTGACGTATGCTCGTCAGGTTTTATATCTTTCCATGGCAAAGCATTTATCATCAATAAGAACATAACATCATGCAATATGAATGTTCTGCTATGAAGACTCCTGTCTGCATAATTGTATAACATGGCAAACACTGCCCAGCGAAATATACATTTCATGACTTTCTGACTTACATCAGAATGCTAGTGGGAAGAATAAGTGGTTTAAGAAATCATCTACAAGCTGAATAACAATTCAGCCTGTAGATATTTTAACACAAGTCTTAGCAGTGCATGTCACCTAGTAACCTACAACTACCAGTAATCCTGTCTGGGGAACTCAGCAGTTGCACAGTCCATGCATTGTTTCACACTCCAAATGTACTTCTGCATTATTACAGATATGAAGTGGCTGGTGGCTTCAATTTACTAAAGTTAAGAAACAGGTGGCAATAACATGCATGTGAATAGAAACAAAGGTTGGTCTACAACTCTATATGTAGACTGACAGGAGAAAAAAAAAGAATACCTGCAACGCAATCTGCCACTCGGCCCGTGTCTCAGCAAAAATAGCAACACGTTCATTCTTCTGGTGACCTACTCGAATTAGTCCAGATGAGAAGTTGCAAACGCTCTTGAAGCTCTCTGCATAACACTTCCACTCATACTCGCCCAGATGCAATTTCTCAAACGATCTCCCGCCAGGTGCTGCTTCAGTTTCCCTTGAAATGAGCTTCCTGGTGCCAAGGAGTGGCATGTAGACATACTCTTTGCAAGATTGCTCAAACAGCTCAGCGAGTGTGGACACCCCCTCCCAGTGTGTCTCAACAGGCTGTTCAAATCGATAGTTACGGACTGCATATCCAGGCTCCCCACCAACCTCCACTGGCACTCCCCTCTTCCTTTCAGCCTTTCTCCTCTTGCGGAGCAGCAGGGAGACCGCGACGGGGACAAGAATCCCAACAAAGTAAGGATTCATACTTCTGCAATGGTGAACCTTGTAGCTATACTTGCTTGCAGGAGGTGAACTAACAGATCCACATGCTGAGGCGAAAACCTGCAGATAAGTACTACCATGAGTAGAAGTTTTCAAGGTTTCAGGTCTAGATTGCGATATCAAAGTGACTTTGTAAAGAAAATACTAACTGCACGATTAGTCCTGCTATCTGACCTGGTCCATTAAGCAGTGCAAGTGCAACCACTCCACTTATGGACAGAAAAAGGACCAATTGATTTTTACACCAATTCTATCCAATACAGTCAAGTCAAATAGTGCAGTCTGTATAGCTATCCATTTTTGACCTTCTAATACAGCCTTCAGCCTCCCCTTTATGCATTTAATATTCATACTCTCATTGTCATTATAGAATTAACACAAGCACCCCTCCTGCTTTGTTACAGGTTGTCCAAAAGTTAGTGGGCAGTAATAAAAGTTACTGGACAACTTATCAACTTTTTCAAAAAAAAGAAAAGAAAATTTGTTGGAATGATCCCATTTTCAGAAGAAAAAAAACAAAAACTGTTGGAGGCCAGTGAAACAAGCTTCTCTCAAAGTACTTGAGAAGTGCTACATCAACATCACCGACTATAGCGCATACGTATTTGTTTTCCCTCCTCCATCTCCACCACTCCCAATTTTTTATTTAATATACCTGTCTCAGCTCATGCATCGCATGCTAATTCAGTAGTAATTTCTGAGGGAATTACACAGCCACAAGCACAGTAAACACGGAACACTCACACAAAGCACTAGTAACGAGTAATGGGACCCCGCGAGTTCCCCCGACAGTGATTCAGATCGCGCCCAGGCCGCCGTCACCACCCCCAACCGGCCAACCCCCCTCCACCTGGAGAGCACACTTCCACACCGCGACGACAACAATGAGAGAAGGGGAGGGAGCGGCGGCACCGTACCTTCCGAGGGACGACGGCGGGGGGACGCGCGGGCGGGGCGGCGGCGGAGCCAGTCAGCGAGGTTTCGCCTCGTCACACGTTGCGGTTTGGTTCTCTCGCCTGCTTGCGGTTGCGGCTGCGGCTGCTGCTGGCTTTCCGCTCCGTCAGGCGACTGAGGCCAGCAGGCTGCAGGCCCCACCGAATCCAATCCCTTCCTTAGCGGATAAGCGGGCTAGGGCCCGGCCCGAAATCATAATTAATGGGCTACATTTTGCAGTCTTTTCCTACTTTGTTGATTCGGCTGGCCCGAAAGCCTAAATAATGGGCCGCATTTTGCAGTCCGCTTTGCGACTTTTCCTACTTTGTTTGCTTCTGCTTCGTAATACTCCACATGTACGCTCTAAAAGAAACAGTACACCATATGTACGCTCTAAAAGAAACAGTACACCACATGTACGATATACTCGGCCGACGGCATGACAGGGTAATCTCTCCGTTGAAATTATAATGGCTATTTCGCTGTTAGGATGCCTTTTAACAGTTACTCGAATGATACATAATTTTGATGACACGAAATTGATGCCTTTACATTCGTATACAAATCAAAAACACTTTCTCGTGCCGATATCCATCCTCTCTTCGTAATACTTGGCACACAACACACGACTCCATACTTGGCAACCCTTCCATGGCTTCTACAAAGGGGGGAAAATGCCTCGCTATCTTTGCTGTCCTACTAGTTCCTCATAAAATGGATAGATTGCTAAAAATCGAAAATGATACAATAATTTAGCACGTAATGTATACATTATACACTGGGGAGATGCTATATAAGGGTCAAATGTTAGAATAAACTTTTGGCACCTTATAGCGGGTTGGGGCCTTATGGGCATCAAACTTTTTTGGAAAAATTGGGCGCATCAAACTAATGGGGTGCTATAACCAATGAATAGTTGCACCAAAAATTTCATCCGGAGGCAGCCGCAAGTCTTTCTCGGTCTGCGCCCTCCTCTTTATCGAACTCCTCTATCAGCTCCCGTTGCCGTTGCGTCACCTCCCTGAAAACAGGAAAATCATCGTGATTACCTTAATCCTTTGCTGAATAAAATAGAAATGAAGATCTGCTGCAGGTTAAGTGGCATACGTCGGAACCCTGATATTGAAGTGAACATACTGATTCCCAAACACCGACGAGTTTCTCGCTTTTATTCCTGAAAAGTATAATGTTAATTACAATACTATCGATTCAACAAAAGAATAGAAAAACTAATATTCACTGTCCAATATCTTCTCTTTCACCAGTTATCAAGGGGCAAAAGGCCAGAGCGATTGATGAACTAATAAAAGAATCCATTAAAAAGGGTTTCATGGTAACTCCAGTGACCAACCTTTGCCCCGGAGGACGACCTTCTCTCCTGGCTGGGTACCTTGGCGAACCTGGACAAATAATATGACAAACAAGGCAATCATTAGGACATCAACAGAACCATCCTGAACTGACTGACAAACATCAGGTAGCAAGAATTTCAAACTTTGAATGAAATGAAGAAAACATACCTTGACTGTAACATTTCCAGTGAGGGTTGGTACAGTGACAGTTCCACCTAGGACAGCCTGTAAATGAAGAAGTTTTATTGATTTAGAATTTAGAGCTTCTCATAACCCAAGAAAAAGGATTATTTAGACAAAAATATTCCAAAGAGCACACCAAAGTCCACACTCAGGAACATTGTCATGCATGCATATGTGCGCACGATCACTGTCCTTTCCACCATTGAACTAGGATCACACCCACGCCCGCCTATCATTATCACACCTTGCCCTATATGGATACAAACCTCTGACCAACAGACCTACATGCTCACTCCTTCCACCAGTGATCTGGACTAGTGCACACTCACCATTGCCCATACCTGGTGCTTGTGAGTGCCCATGACAGTGACCTACACCCTGCCTGGCCATGCCCACTTGCACTTGCTGCCACCCTACTCGCACATTGCTCCAGTGATGCCCATTTACTGTTAACATATCTACGGTGACCACTACAGATCAAGAGTGATGATATGACACAGCATTCAGAAGAGTCAGGGGAGGCTTGAACAGAGCAGGTGCTAAACGAGATATTTCGAAGACTGACATCCAATTCACGAGCCTTTCAAGATTTGATAAGGCCAGTGGATCAGATAGCAGATCTGGCCAGTTAGCACCAGAGAGAACCTGTGAATCGAGAATTCAGATTGAGGGAAAGTGAGGAGATGGATGGAGAACAGAGTAAATAAACCATATGTGCAAAAATAGATCTCTCAGGTGTGGGGGATAATCTCTTGGATCGATGGATGGGGTCAGGAGGGCAAAAGGCATCCAAGCACTTTGTTCATTCTGACTGCATACCTTTTGTCAATTTCTCTCTCCAGAAAAGATGTCTGAGAGCGGACGCAATAAAATGGCAAATCACGGTGGTTTACGGGCCTCAAGGAGACGCCGCCAAACTACAATTTCTACAAGAATTGAGAAGCATCCAGCCACCGGACCATAGCAGGTGGCTCATCCTAGGGGATTTTAACCTCATCTACCAAGCCGAAGACAAAAACAATTCCAATCTTAACCGGCGTCTGATGGGCTCCTTCAAGGCGGCAATAGACCACCTGCGCCTTAAAGAAATCAAACTCAATGGTCGGCGGTACACATGGAGCAATGAACAAGACAATCCGATGCTAACCAGGATTGATAGGCTACTCTGCACCCCAGAATGGGAACTCATTTTCCCAGCTTGCTTCCTACATTCACTGCCGTCCCTCATGTCGGACCATACCCCTTTGCTCCTGCAGGGCGAGCCAGGTCATTATAGAGACACATCCTTCCGTTTTGAAAAATTCTGGACCAAAGTTGATGGCTTCACAGAGATAGTCCAAGAAGCGTGGAACAAACCCGTCCACTCCGTCCTGCCTCTAAAACGCCTGCACATCAAACTAGCACGCGCAGCAAAGGCCATCAAGCGTTGGAGCAGGGAGAAAATTGGAGACACCAAGCTCCAGCTTGCTCTAGTCAAGAAGGTCCTACTACAATTGGAATTGGCACAAGAGTCAAGAGTGCTCACAGTTCAGGAATTGGACCTACGCCGACGTCTCAAAGCCCGCAGTGTGGGACTAGCGGCCATCGAAAAATCAAGAATGAGACAACGATCTAGGCTCACACACATCCGTTGTGGTGATGCCAACACGAAGCCAATGCGCGCCGAAGGAAAAACTACATCCACTACCTCCAGAACGACGCAGGGCCGGTAGTATCCCATGATGAGAAACAAAAAATAATAAGGGATTATTTTAGAGACCACATCGGCTCTTCAGCTCCGAGGAGCACAACCCTCAATTGGCAATCTCTAGGTTACACGGTGCACGACCTAGCAGAGCTCGAAATACCTTTCACCCAGGAAGAGGTGGAGAACACTATTAAATCCATGCCGCCAGATAAAGCCCCAGGTCGGATGGCTTCACGGGTGCTTTCTTCAAGGCCTGCTGGGGGATCATAAAAGAGGATGTCATGGCCGCCTTGCACAGCCTGTTCACACTAAACTCTCAAGGATTTGAGATGTTGAATTCGGCAAATATCGTCCTGCTACCAAAAAAATTGGAAGCATCAAGGGTCACTGACTTCAGACCTATCAGCCTCATACATAGCATTGCGAAAATCTTCTCAAAGTTGCTGGCCAACAGATTAGCCCCACATTTGAACTCCATGGTCTCCAACTGCCAAAGTGCATTCATCAAAAAGAGAAGCATCCACGACAATCTCTTATATGTCCAAGGCGCAATGCGTAAATTTCACAAGCTGAAGCTGCCGGCTCTATTCATGAAGCTGGACATCCACAAGGCATTTGATACTGTTAGTTGGGGCTACTTGTTGGAGATACTGCAGGCTCTTGGTTTTGGGCCGCGCTGGCGCGAATGGGTCTCTATCGTCTTCCGAACGGCCTCCTCGTGCACACTACTTAATGGTCAAAAAGGGCTCAGCTTCAGCCATGCCAGAGGCATCCGTCAAGGGGACCCTCTCTCCCCCATGCTTTTTATCTTGGCCATGGATCCCTTGCAGCGCCTACTTGACTTGGCAACCCATCAGGGAATCATAACCCCCTTGCCTTCGGTAGCAGCTAAATGGAGAACCTCCATGTATGCAGATAACGCGGCAATTGTCATCAACCCGCTAAGAGATGATGTTGATGCAATCAAAACAATCCTGGAAGCAGACCCAGTGCCGGAGGCTCCCACATGAGTGGGGTCTGGGGAAGGGAAAAACCGACGCAAGCCTTTCCCCCGCAAAACAATCCTGAAAGCATTTGGAAATTTCTCAGGTCTCCATATAAACTTACAAAAAAGCTCCATCCACCCGATCAGATGTGAAGAATTGACCTCGACTCGGTGTTGTCCCCATTCACAGGTACCAGAGACACCTTCCCATGCAAATACCTAGGGCTACAGCTGCATATCAGGTCACTACAGAAAATCCACGTACAGCTGCTCATTGAGCGTATTGGGCAATGACTACCTAGATGGAAAGGAAGATGGCTTAACAGGGCGGGGCGCCTAACGCTTGTCTCTTCAGTTCTCTCGGCCATGCCAACTTATCACCTCACAGTATTTCCCTTGGCGGCTTGGGCAAAAAAGAGAATTGACAAAATTAAGAGATCTTTCTTATGGAAAGGGGAGGAAAATGCAAATGGAGGACATTGTTTGGTGAATTGGCCAACGGTCACCCGGCCAAAGGATTTGGGAGGGCTAGAGGTACCTGACCTAGAGAGATTTGGCCGTGCACTCCGACTTCGCTGGTTGTGGCAGGATTGGACGGAAGACTCCAAACCATGGATTGGGATGGACCTTCCTTGCAATGATGTTGATCGCATGTTGTTCAATGCCTCAACCACAGTCACCATAGGAGACGGCGCAAAGGCTCGCTTCTGGCACAACAATTGGATTGAGGGGGAACCACCCAAGTATCTGGCCCCAAATCTCTTCCATCGGTTGGCATCTGAGTGATTGAACAGTGTTATCATTAGAGAAAGAGAACTGCACACATGGAACATTATGTAGTTTTCCATCGGTTGGCATCTAAGTGATTGAACAGTTACGACCGACATAGACATTGTCTATTGGTTACTCGGTTTCTCACAGCCTCAGAGGATGCTTACCCCGTCTGTGATCTCATCCCTTATGAAAGGTTGTACTCAAGCTACTTTGGTAGAGGACTGTTTTTCAAACTTTGTGAACGAACATGAAACCATTGTAATGAGTAGCTTTCAGAAGCTTGCAGTCTAGTGCAAAGTTCACATGGTCCATGCTATATTCACTAGGGAAATAGATATTATGGGTAGTTAGTTTATGCTCCGTAGTACTCTCCGTATCCCGAGAACGAAGTACTGTAACACCCCAGGTGTTTGTCACCAATTAAGCAGTGGGTTTGAGCTCCAACATGACAAGTTCAGTGGTAATCAAGAGCTCTAGTTGAAACTTGTACGTGGTGACAAAGGTGTTGGGATCAACTCTCTAAGAATGAGCCCCAACTTAAACTTGGACAACACACCTTGCTTCTATGTTGACCATTTCAGAGGTATGCTTGAGTAATGTGGAAGGTGCCCCTTTTCATGTGCCTCACATCTATTTTCATCTACATCGACTATTGAAAAAGTTTCATGAAGTTTGGAGTCAAAAAGTCACATGAAATGATAAGTTGTATTAAGTGAATGAAAACATGGGATGTCGACCAAACATTGCTACCTTGCCCAAATGACTCTAATTAAACTCTACCACAAAAATCATGAAGGGTCCATGTTGAGCAAATGCTAAGAAAATGCCTCAATCGGTCTAAAACTCCAATTTAAGGTTTATTGTGATGCTGCTTTGACCAAGGTCAAATAATAGTGTGGAAATAAGTTATGAAGTTTGACCTTAAATAAAAGTTGAAGTTTCAGTGGAGTACAACAAACTTTGTTTAAGGGTCATGAGCTAGTTTGGTCCCTAACTTAGTCAAACTAAGGACTCAAAAATGAACCCAGTGCAGTTGTGGATCTCAAAAAAATTGGCTACGTCTGGAAATTCAGTAGCAACGATGATTGGCATCTCGCGTTCTCAGATTTTTGTTAAGCAACTCAAGTTGAGCCAAATATAAAAGTCGGATTATATGTTTTGGGGAAGAGCATGCAAAAAGATGGCACCAGTTTGATTTTGTTTTGACCATCAATTTAGATGTTTGTTGATCGCTGTCAATGCGTTGACACTATCAACTTGGGGCTTAATTAACCGCTAATGGAGAGCTCTGATGGTCGGATGCCCTTAATGAAAGTTGTAGAGCAATTCGTGGGCTTCAACTTTGCTTTTGGGCCCAAGGTCCATTTTGGCCCGTAGCCGGCCCAAAACGGCGTCCCGCAGTGGCCACACCGTCGCCCGCCACGTGCTCAGGGAATTGCTCCAACGGGCGACGCGTGCCCTGTGCGTGGCGGCCATGCCCGAGCTGGCGCCCCACCTTCAACTGCCGAGTGGTCGCGCCCCTGCCTCCCTCGCGCGCGGAGTGGAGACGCCGAGCTCCGCAGCGCCTTCGTGCTCGCCCTCTCCCTCTCCGCGCCGTCTCGCTCCCTTCCTGCTCGCGAGCGCAGACACGCCCGCCATGGCCGCCCTTGGGAGCTCCAAGCCGCCGCGTCTCTCTTGCCTCCACGCCTCCTCGCGACCTCCAGCCACTGTCGCGCGTGCCCTGCGAGGCCGCAGCGCCTCTCCCTCGCCGCCGACGTCCACCGCCGCCGCCCGCTTTGCCGTCGCCCGCTGCCGCCGGAGCAGCTCTGGCAGCAACCCACGACTGCCGTGGCAAGGAAGGCCACGGGCTGCAGCTGGCCGAGCCATGGGCCAAGCGCAGCATCGGCCGAGCCCGGCCAGCCCTTCCCCACCGCCACTCGCCGCCGGCGCCGCCTCAGCCGGCCGGAGGCCGGCCCCTCCTGTTCTGGCGTCGAGAAGATGGAGTTCGCGCAGAAATAGAAAGTCTTCCAGGGGTTAAGTGCATAGTGCATGACTTATATGAATACTAAAGGTTGTTCTGCGGGTAAATTAAGGAAACCTGACCCCAGTGAAAAAAAAAACGTTTTTCCTTTTCTTTTTCCTTATATGCATATAGTCGGCTAAACTTTGAAAAATCATAATAAATCGTAGAAAAATCGTAAAATAGCAAATGAAGACTTTTTGGAATCCCTGAGAGTAAATCTATGCATTGGAGTCATAATATGATATGTGTTAGTATAAGGTTTTTGCTGTTTTTATTTATCTATGTTAATTAGGGTTTTCTAGGAATAAATTCATATCTAAAGTTGTGGTGCTCCAATTACTGTGAAATTTTTATGGTAGGCTACTGATGCTATGTGTGTGCTGTGGTAAAAATTTCATGGTCATTGGATGCAGTATGATTGAGTTATTAATTTAACTTGTTTATGGCTTGATAAATGGTTTTAAATAAGTTATAATTTTTATGTAGCTGTAAAAATGTGAAATGTGATTCCTTTGCCCTTGCATGGTGATAATGTGGCCTGAGAAACCCTAATATGACTATATGATTATAGAAAATAATGATCTTTAGATTTATCTTGTTCTCACATGTTTATTAATAATTAAGATTTGTCTTTTTCATAGCAATTAAATTATAAAACCTGAGCATATGAAATTTGTGCAGTAGCCATGTTTTGATAACATCTACCACTCATAAAAGTCTCAACCCCAAACTAGTTGTTCTCATATAGTACTAAAAATAATACATATGTTGCATTATTAAAGTAGAGGATGAATGTTGTGAACATATACATGTATTTATTGTCATGTGATGCTTCTAGTAGCTATTCTTACACGCTATGATTGTTTGAATACGATTCCAAGATGTTTGGGGTAGCATATATGTCAAGAATATGTTAGTTTGTAGCAACTAAATGGTAGATGAATGCAGTATGCCTCTGTCGTTTCGGCTACATGTACAGTTTTGGTTAAGCAATTAATTTCATGGTGATAATGTTTTCTGTGAATGTGTTGAATACCAAAGTTGTAGATAAATTCCTTATATTGTTTGTCATAAAATTTCATGATTTTAGGCCTGCTGGTTTAGGAGTTATAGATTTCACAAATTTGTTGTTAGCTTTTGCATGTGTTATCTGAATGATTGTATTGTTTGGCTTAATTAAACATAGAATCATGTATTTGTGATAATAAGAGAGTTGTAGTGCTTTTTCTAAGCTTTCTAAAACGTCTAATATCACTGCTTTTGGTGGTCTACAACTCTAGTTATTGATGTCAAAGCAGAATGTCAGATTCTGTCCAAATCTAGACAGAGATGTCTTCATTGGATTGTTTAACTTTGTTACCTGTAGAATTATCTTAAGATGATAATAAGAAAGTTATAGGTAACTTAATAAGCTTTCTATAAAGTTAAGAATCATGTTTGTTGGATGATTAAAACTCCAGTTATGTATTTCTGAAGTTACTATCAGTTTTCTGTCCTTAGTTGTATAAGCTCTGCTTCATGATGTACTTTGACCTTGTTATTTGTTGAATCAGCTTTTGGTGTTAATAACAAAGTTTTAGATAATTTCATTAGCTTTCCACAAAGTCTAGGATCGCACTTTTTGCATGCCTAGAACTCTAGGTATGGTTAAAACAAGCAACTGTGATGCTGCTGTTCAGAATCTGAGCATGTACCTAAAATTGTTTGCTTCACTTTGCATTGCTTTGTATGCTTGTTATTGTTAGCTCATGATACTACTAGAGTTAAATTGATCTAGCTGAGGTATCTTATAAATATGTTATATAATGTTGGTCAAGCACGTAACTAATAAATGATCTTGATGCATGTTTTGCTAAAGCTTTAATTATGTTGGTGTCGTTCACCGCAACCCTAGTTCTTATGTGATGCTAGGCTTAATTAGTTCTTGATGGTTAAATGCTTGTAATAGTTTGACTTGAGTTGACTAGTGTGCCATGCTTGTTATGCTTGCTATCCCTATGTTAGACTTGAGTGATAATTAATTAAATGACTTGCTCTCTAAGTGCATGTCTTGAGGTGTAACCTTATACTTGTCTTTGAATGCTTTTATATGATGCATCTCATGTTACCATTCTTCGCATTCATGCACTTGCATTGTTGCATCTCATCTAGGTACGCTAGATGCACAACGCGTGGACGTGAAGCATGTGATGATGGAGTCGAACCGAGAAGGCGGTGTTGGTGGACCTATCCCAAGATGAAAGGACCTGGAGTGCATGCCTAGAGTGGAAGATGTTCCTCAAGGCGGTGCAAGCTAACTAAACCGACTTTTGTGTCGGATCGAGACAAGCCCGGAGCATTCTAAGCCTCCTATATTTTACAAATATCAATTTAAATCCTTTTATGTTTGATGCATTAAGTTATAGGAGTTGATTGAAAACTCTTGATGCATATAATTTCCTTGTCCAGACATATACCTTGAACCATGTGTAGGTCCAGGATCGAATATATGCTTAGCCATGCTTAGACCGGTAGAAGTCGGGTGATTTCCTGTCACCTGCGAGATATAGGTGAATATCGGAGCACAGTTGGCTATATTTGCTATCGTGGAAAAATAACCATGGGATATAATCTAAGTGGAGATCGGGCGGGATTTCATATGCAATGGTGTTGGGTTGGATATGTTGATCCCGTCTGTATCGATTAAGAACCGTACCGTTGCTGGCACTTCTGGCGAGATTGAACGCCTCTCACTTAGCTGGCCGGATAACTCGTTCCGACCGCGAAGCCGAGTAGCTCAACTCAAGCCAGGCCCCGTTCTGTAAGAGTGCGCACTATCGATGGTAGTAAGGATGTGCGGGGAGATAGACGTGAGCCCAAGGGCAGGGTAGTCCTGATAGTCCTGGCAGTTGTTGTCCCTAATTGTGTGGCACTGATCGAACCCGCGAAATGTGGACCTGAGTTGTATTAAAGGTGACTAAGACTATCTTTGCGCTATGTCTGGGTTTGTGTTAGGAATAAATTCCCAGCTGGTTGAAATTGATTCGAATCGCCGTCTCTCCCGGATGGTGAGAAACTCGACTAGCTCCAGCATCGTAGTAATTGAATTATGGAATATGATGGTTATGGTGAATATGGAATTATTACACCGTCTATAGTTACTATTGCATGCTACTAAATGATATACCACATGTTTGGCACAGGTTAGTTGCTAATCTAGAGATGAATAGTTATAATTAACTTCATGACCGAATTATAAAATGTATAGTTTAATTAGTGGTTTTTTATGTAAAATGTTGTCAAGTTAGCTCCACCTATAAAGCCTTGCATTATCCTTAGTGTCACTTTATTTTTGGTTTATAACGGGTAAGTCTAGCTGAGTACATTCAAGTACTCAGGGTTTATCCCACCATGTTGCAGGTGAAATTCTCGGCCTAAGGAAGATGGTGGCTATCCACCGGTGGGCTCGGTGACTCTATATTTATTTCTCATCTATATGCTTTTGTCAGAGAATGTCACTTATGCTAGCAATGTATTTGAAACTTATATTAATGTAATCATTTGAAAACTATGTTGTTTCCCTTAACCGGTTTTAAAACCCAAACTTGTACTATTATTTGTGAATCCATTTGTAATATTATTTCCGCTGCAACTCTATGTATGTGATGTGTATTTGCTTAATCATGCGATCTTGGTCGTGATGTTGATTTACCGAGGTCCTTCGTGACACTCGGCGGACTACCGGGTTTATATAAGTGAAAGTATGCGCGCATCAACGTATTAAACGGGGATAACCGTACTTGATCTTGTATAAATTGGGCGGTTCTGTCACAAAAGCTCCTGCCAATTTTTCAAAAAAAAAATCTTAACTCAAATCAGGATACTTCCATCACAAACTATGTGATCATACAAAAGAAAGCAGGATTGAGAAAATATGTGCTGCCAATAAGATGAAAATGTATGTTTGCATTTTATTGGAAACAAAGATGAAAATGGCATGGCATGGACATGTACATTGATCAGAACACGAACCGAAAGAAAAAAAAAATATAAGAGAGACTGACCTGAGCAATGCTTAAAACAGAATCAACATGCACATGGTTGCCTTCTCTTCGAAAGATAGGGTCCTCTCTGACCTGTAATAGGAAATGAAAATGAATTCATACTTCCATGAGACCTTGCATAGTACTGACTAAACTGAGGGCACGAGTGGCATTCACAGCAAAAAAGAAATTAAACCTTGATAGTAACATAAAGGTCACCAGGCTTATTGCGTTCAACATCTGCACCACCCTTACCAAAAACCTTCATGGTGTCATTATCGTCAATTCCTGAAAAAAAAATTGCTTCAGTTATAATGTACCCAAAGTCCTGTCCGCAATAAACACTTGAGCTTGCATGATTGTAGGAAAGAGCCAAATGTTAACGGAACAGGCAGAAATGCAGAATGGTTCAGTAGAACCATATATTTCATAATAGAGCAGCTAGATGATTTGACTTGAATATTAACTTTCTTAACTTAGCAGTGCATGGAAAGTGATGTCTGAGTTATAACAAGTACACCAGTTGGAAATGCTTATAATACCACAAGTTTACACTTCACAGCATTCAAAAAAATTTCTCAAACTACACAGGAGAATTCACAGCATTCAAATCACCAGTAGAAAGAAAGAAGTACACACTGTTTTGCATATTGAACAGAAAATTCAGAATTGTGTGATAAGATGTATTACCTCCGTTCCAAATTAAATTATAGGTCGGTTTGGAACATAGTGTATACATATCTAGGTGCATAGCAAAAGCTATGTACCTACAGAGCCAAAATGACCTATAATTTGGATGGAGTGAATTCGTATCAAGTATATACATATATCAGTAAAGAAAATCTCCTTACCTGCCGCTATGTCTAGCTTGACTGACATTTTCCCCTTCACTACCTGTTCTCCTTTGCAAGTCTTGCAAAAATTCTACAAACCAATTTTGAAAAGCAAAGAACTTAGGCCAACAAAAATGAAAAATCATCACCAGTGATAAACCATATAGATATATTCTATAAAATGTTGCCAGATCCCCCATCCCCTTAAGGAACTAAGAGCACTCAATGCAACGACCATAGCCAGTGTACATCAGAAAAAAAAAAGGAATATGCTATTGAAACAGAAAAGGTGCACCTTGACAATTTTTCCGCTCCCACTGCACAGGGAGCAAGTACATTCAACAGTAAATATACCCTTCTGCATGTATATCTGCATTCATGACAAGATTTTGAAGGTCAGTGTAGTCCCTCTTATCCAATGTAGTTGTCTTTGGAGCTCCAAGAACAAGACAGAACAAGGAAACAATTAATGCTTTCTGTTCTAGGGCGTTTGGTGAAAATATTGCTTTGAATAACCAAAACAACAGATATTTGCAAAAGAAATCAACTTGCTAAAATGTTGTCTACTAATTAGTGGAGTTTGTTATCTGTAAGAAACATGCCATGGAAAAATATGTTGCCGAAGGATACATACCACACCAGAGCCTCGACATGTTTTACATGTTTTAGGCACAGTTCCAGGGGGAACACCACTTCCATCTGCAACAAATAAATTAGAAGCTCATGACATACAACGAAGCACAAATGGGTAAGATTGTCAACAGAATAAATAATTAAATATACAAGTAACGTCACATACTGCAAGTTCCACAAAAAGTATCAGCTTCGTATGTAATGGTTTTTCTGCAACCTTGGACAGCTTCCATGAATGATAGTTCCACAGAAACCTACAGTTGGGGGGAATAAAGCAAGCAAGAATTGAATTAATATGCTCGATTAAAAGGAAACAGCTGTAGTAAAAATCATCTAACCTTGACATCTTGGCCACCTCTGTACGCATTATCAAAGATCTGTTGACATAACAAAAAAATATATATCAGGTATGTATGTATGTATAACAATAATACAACAACATAGCCTTTCAGTCCCAAGCAAGTTGGGGTAGGCTAGAGTTGAAACCCACCAAGAGCCCCAAGTCACGGTTCAAAGAAATTTGCTAAATACTGAAAAGGTACTATTTCAAATCATGTTTAGACTGCCACCTGACATGAAAGGCCAATATGATGTTTATTTCAACATAAAAAACATTGTAGATCATCATATGTTACAACATAGACAAAGTCCTAACAATGAACAAAAAATAATATAACTAGATGAAATTTTACAACCTTGTAGAATGATTTTTCATGGCCACCTGCCAACAATTTATTGTTTTCGCATGCATATTTTTTTACAAAGGCAGCATACAAAATAACTGAGGAGAAATATCACATATTTAAATTTTGAATCATAGATCTCATGCATAACTCACCAAATGGGGGGTGTATAAAAGAGAGTACAGATCTATTTACGGCATATGTATGACACATAAAATAAAACCACAAGGACAATGGTTTTTACATCGCCAAAGATGTCGCCAAATGGGTTACCCTGAGGAAAACCCGGCCCTCCAGGGTCACCACCTGATGCTTGACGCTCGTATGCTTCTGGTCCAAGCTGCCAATTACATAAGCATGTTATATCTAAGAATAAAATATTTTACTGTAATAGTAAAATAAGGTTTCATGAGTCATGGAAATTAATGCTACCACAAGCTAAGCAAGCTGGGTTAACACAAAAAAGCACAAGCTGGCCAGCTGGGTTCAGTATTAATAATAATATAAATAATCTGTCTCTACGTGAATATTCCAATAACATCACAATTTTTGTTTCATTAAAAAGAGAAATGGCAATAACCTGATCATATATTTCACGCTTATCATCGTCCTTCAAAACCTGACAAATGTACAGATAATATCAACATTTAGGGAAAAAAACATGTACTATGGTTCATGAAAGGTAACTACATTTTCTGCAAGAACCTCACACCTCGTAGGCACGGTTAACTTCTTGAAAAAAAATTTCTGCATCAGCATCATCTTTATTAGTATCAGGATGGAACTTCTTTGCAAGCTGGAGAAGAATGATAAATTTTGTTAACCAAATGAATTACCAGATAACAGGAAGAAGTAGAAGAAACAGATCGATGGGAGCACAAATGGAAGAAAATACAATATGGAGAGCATGGTGCAGTAGGCATGCAAGAGACAGTTAATAAATAGTTAAATACATAAATGGAAGCAGTGCCAAATGGATCCCAATCCACAATCTGGGTTGGGATGGAAGTAAATTCCTATTTGTGGAACCCCAGTTGGCTGACTTCAGCCTATTCTACCAGATTCTTGAGTTATCTGTCCATCTTATCATTCAGATGTCATCTTTTGCATTGAAACTCTGTTTCTGATTATCCATACAGGGGAAGCGGATCATCTTAAGTTCTTGACAAGTTCAACAGAGTTTTAGTTTATGTTTCCTATAAATGAGTTTTGAAATTCAAAACATGATTAGCATGGTGAGTAAGGGACAAGTGCACCATGCAGTCAGATGCAGGGGAACTGATTCTGGTGCATAAGTCCCTAACCAACTAGTTGTAGCCTTGTAGGTATTACCCAGGCAAAATAAGACAAGCAAAAAATAGCACGAATGGAACAGGTAGTCAGATAGGTCTTGTGACAGTTGCTCAATAGAGAGGTTAATCATTCGTGCATCACCAATACTTCACTAACACAACCGTACTTATATCCAATACTTTCTCTACATTACCATAGTGTTGTTTTTCAAAATCCTGTATCGCCATAACCGGTATCCCACGTCGATGATACATAGTTAATCAGTATTAGACTAAGTAGCAGACTATAGAGGGAAGAGTACAATAGATACTGTCAGAGGCAAACCAAAGAGCATAAGAAGGGCAGAATAGAGAAGAAAAGATAAGAAGAAGTAGCAAAAAAGCAGCACAGCAAATGAAGCAAACACGAGCATAAGAGAACTTGAAGAGATTACAGGAGGTAGAGAAGCAATAGGGGAGGAAGAGAAGTGAAATAAGTAAAGTGCCTTGGGTCTGGAGAGAGACGATAGCAACAGAAGATATGAACTTCGATTAAGAGAGAAAATTAGGCAAGAGGTGGAGGAGGCTCTGACAGAGTTTAAGGCGGAATAGATTAATCTAGTGCTTGATCTCGCAGATGAGCCGACCCTCATATATATTGGTCAGCTGCTTGATAATTCAATCAAGCCAACTAACTTATCTCTAGTAAACCTTCTCAAACTAACTCAATTAAACCTTCTGATCATGTCGCCTGAGACATCAGTAGGTGCAGCCATAGGAGTCCACAACAACAGCGAACTAAGGGCAACTATCAGCTGGAGACGATGGGAACTTAGGCCCTCAAGGCAGCAAGGTTGAGATCGATAGAGTAACATTGGGGGAATAAGGAATATCCAAATATGATCACCAAGAAGTTTAACGATGTACAATCAATAAGCAATATCCTAACTTTGTTTCTGAAAGGAGGTGCACATCCTAACAACGATATGTAAAAAATCTGTACCGCATAATATGCCTTCTTTATATCCGGTGCAGAAGCATCCTTGCTTACTCCAAGCACATCATAGAAATCCCTTGCATACACCCGCCTTGTGGCTAGCATCACAGGAACATAGAAGTTTTAATTACAGGCACACAGTTATAGGAAGCATGTCTGAAACTTAAAAAACGGCAGTAAGAAGCAAACCTAAGTGCCAACTTAGAGCACTTTGCTATCTATTTTTCTTCGTTTGCACCCGCGATATCATCGACAGTGATGGGGGACAACACAGTGCTGACAACACAGTTCTGGCAAGTTGCGGTGGAGGTGAAGACTTCGTCAAATTTGATTTAATTTTCTTTTCTGGCATGGTCTCTCCTGTATTGGTTATTGTTTTCCTTAATATAATTCAGGTATAAGATACTCTAGGGTGTCTTTTTGCCAAAAAAAGAAAGAGCAAAGAAAAATAGCTTCAGTAACTGCCGAAGTCAATCCTGTTATTTATTTATTTGTTGAGTTATCTTGGTACCTCATTTTTTTATAATGAGTACCCCATGTCTGAGGACAAACGCTCCTCTTTCCTCCTTTGTATAGATGCCTTTTCTTAGTTTTCTGGTTGCCAAGTGGCTCTCTCAGCCTCTTGGGTGGTTTTTGTTGTGCTTGTTTCCCTGTACAGTTCTTACCCTTTTATATTTATAAAATCTCACAGTGGGGGTTTCCCCTGCTGTATTTTACGCTCAAAAAAAAAGCACCCCATGTTGCATTTTATCTGTACCCTACCACAACTTGCTTGGGAATAAAAGGTTTTCTGTTGTTGTTGTAGATGCATTAAACCATTTAAATTTGTGGTTTTGGGACAATCTTAAATAACTGCATAACCATCTCAGGTAAGTATTAGCCAAGCATTCTTCGAAGCTACAATCAAAATTACGCATGAAAAATAGCAGTTGTCTCTTTTCAGACAGAAAGGGGCTGTTATTGTTCTAAGAAAAATTACTTTCTCATTTTGTTTTTTCATTCATAGTGTTAAACAATGATTACAAGTCGCCCGATTAATCACGATTAATCGTCCTAATCGGTCCCTGGTGACCGATTAGGGGTACCTCGTCCTAGTAGGTCCCATGGCGACTAGGTTTGACTAGACGACTTGTAAACCTTGGTGTTAAAACAGAAAAACATAGAAAAAAGTGTCCCTTGGTATTCACAAAAGCTCTGCTGAACGTGCAACTATTTTCTTAGAACTCAAATGCAAGTCAGGATCAGAAGGCCAAAGTCACCTGGGATGACAGCTCTTAAATGAATCGGATGATTTAAATACATGATTATTATGGCGTTGTACACAAAAGGTAAAAATGCTGGCTCCCCGGATAGAAAGCAGAAAGATAGAACTAATCTTAACCAGAACATGAGGTATTGAGGTCTTGGTTTCAATTGTCACTACAGTACAACATCAAATTTCAACAACTATGAGGCCTGCTGTAGCAATAAACCAAACCACAACTAATTTCACAAGATGAACCACTGTGTATGGCTAAATGGAAACGTGGAATTACACTAGGGTCATCAATTTGACCGAAGTACTAACCATGGAACGACCTGCTCGGACACCACCAGCTCGGGCTCCGCCGCTCCCTCCCTGTCCAATTCACCGATAAGCAACACAGGCCTCCCCGATCAATCCATTCAAAAAGCATAAAAATTTTCAAGAGAAGGCGACTAACCTGGTTCAGGCAGCCGCGGCGGTGCGGTCCAGGCCGAGGCGGCAGAGCCGACGAGGTGGCGGGCGAACAACTCGCGCTGGCAACGGAGATGAAGGGGTTAGCCGTAGAATTCGGGATTGGGTGGAGGAGAAGTGAGGGAGGGGAGATGAGGGAGCTCACCGTAGAGGAAGAGTTCGCCGCGGCGGCGAGCCTGGAGGCGGCGGCGCGCGCCATGGGGGTGGAGGCGGGCGGTGGCCCGGTGCGAACCCTACTTTGCAGCAGGTAGCAGGCACAGACGGTGGGGCTTTTGCGGCTCAAACGCACGAAAAAATGGGAGGGTTTTAGATTTCGATTTCGGAAAATTGCTAATACCTTGAAGAACTTTACGAATTCTCTATACCATCCATCACGCGCGTCATCACACGCGTTGACATTTAGTTGGAAATACAATCTAGACGTGTCTATATATTTTTTTCAAGATCGGATCCTAAATTAGTAGTATAGATAAGTTGAAATATTACTTTTTTTACATATAGACATATATTTGATATTATACTAAAAAAGGATGGGTATATATATTACATAAAGTGGTCACATGGGTTTAGTAATGTTCTTATGTCATGACATGGGATTGTACTTTACATATTCCATAATATAGAGTAGCATAGAGTGGTTTTGTACATTGAGCAGCCAGCATGATATGTAGCAATCCATACATAAGTAAGGATATTTTAGGACTTTACATTGCTTATCCTTATTAGTTGGAGATGTCAGCCATAGATTAGAGTCCGACAATCTTACATAAGCTGGTTCTAATAGTGGATGGCAGTCACAGGTGTCATAGTGTTACGTAAGCTGGTTGTAGCCTGCACAAACAGACTAACCAGGATTCTGAGAAGTGCCCATGCTACATATGCAAAAGTCAGTCTTATATATTAGTGTCCTAAGCTGTATATGCAGTCTGGTCATCGAAGTTTCTCACACAAATAGATTTTACTTGAAATGCCTATGGCATATACGCAGAAGCAGATGTATCATGGGGCTGTGTAAGCCTGTAACACAGATAAAGGAATTTCAGATTTGACGCGATTGTGCTAAATATGATGAGTCTGCATAGAAAACGAAGAACGGTGTTTGCAAGCACCTTTTTCATTCTCTGTTGGCTGGAAGAGGCGGTACATCCAGTGCCTTAGCCATGTGTTTTGGTTTCTTCAGCTCTGGATCTGCAATTTGTACAAAGCGTAAAAACATAGGTTTCAAGATGGGCCATAGAAGAGGCTTTAATCTCATGTGCTTTTTGTAAAAGACCAGTGCCATAATACGACTGCTGAATGATTCGTACACAACTGATGGAAGGAGCCCTGAGGGATGCTAAGAATGATATTTCTGTGTGTCTTTGTCCTCCTTGTCTGTCTGAATGGTGGCTGTGGATCTTCAGTTTTTTTATGAGGAGGATCAGTGCATCACTTGTGTTCCTGCAGAATTGGCATGTTATAGATTTGGTAAAACGGGATGAATCAGATATCTCTAGGCCAACTGTGAATGTAAAAGTATCTTGGTACCAAGAACACTTTATGTCTTTATGGGGAAAAAACATGTCCGCAGATATGAAATAAGAGGGAACTAATAGTATCATGATACCAAGAACACTTTCATCTTTATGAGAAAA